CCTTTGGATTGATATCCGAAGGGACAAGTGTATGTTCAAGTTTAGAAATTTGATCAATAATAAAAAAAAGTGGCATCATATTTATGAAGAATGTAAACTTAAAGGTATTCGTATTATCGGCTATGCAACCGACTGCGATAGTCGTTATTTACGATGTATGCGAATATCTCTTGGTTTTTTCGGACATTTTGCATATGTTGATCATCCCGATAATCTCAAAATTGATCTTCCAAAAACCTGGTCTTGGTATTTTATGCAACACGAGCAGCTATATATATGCATGCAAGATCCGATACACATCTGTACGAAATTACGAAATAGGCTTCTTTCGACAACAGCGACGCTGGTTTTAGGTAGATATGCACCAGTGCTAGTTAACTGAGTACCAGTTATACTGAGTATAGATTTAACTGATCTATGATTTATTATAAATCATAGATCAGTTAAATCTTTACTCAGTGTAACTGATAACCAGTTAACTGGCACTGGTGCATATCTACTTTTAGGTGATCAGTTAATTAATATGGAGCCACTTTTTTTTATTATTGATCAAATTTCTAAACTTGAACATACACTTGTCCCTTCGGATATCAATCCAAAGGACAGACAAAATTATAAATCTTGTACCAAGATTTCGAGTGATGAAGTTTTAAACATACTTGAACAAGTACCAATACCAAATTCAATTGGTATAAGTATTTATTTAAAGGCAAGTAGAAGAAAACGCTTCAAAGTAGATGAATCAGAATTGCATCATAACATGTAAGAGTCGAAATGTCGTTTCTACTCGAGCCTTCAACTTGCGAGTTTTCAACCTTACAATTATTGAAGGGGAGAATTGACTGACATAAATAAAATGTTGTTAACAATGATTTTCTATTTCATTAGAATCTAATATAATCAGAATACCTTTACTAAGCTTTAGAAAAGGTTTTCACTGTTCTGCTCTTTAAAAACTCCAATTGTTTATTTCGTAAACAGAAAGATGTGAGCAGAGCCATAGATTATCATTTTAAAGTTTTGTGATAATAACTATTAATTGCGGGTTTTTGTGTACTCAAAAAGTGAGTACACTATAGAATCGGTCAGTGTGTCCGGCAGTCCGGCCGTTTACATGATAACTTTTGAAAGAAGAGTCCGATCGCGATGAAATTTTCTACACAGTTTAGTCTCAACAATATCTCGATCGAGTTCGAAGATGAGAATGATTTGCCAAACCATTGCTGAGTTATTGCAAAAATAGTCATTATTCCCTATGCTTTCCAATACGAAGATCGACCTTTCCCCGTTTTGGTAAAAAACTTTTCCTATCATAGTCAAATAAAACCCCGACTATTATATACCAATCGATAGAAAATTTCACGAGCTACAAAATTGTATATAAAACATAAAGAAACAAGAAGACTAAGTCACCTACTGCAAAGATAATTAAACGGAAATTGGTTCTGCTTTTGTCCACGCTTTAATTGATCCGCAATTGGAGCTCTATCTTCTCATCGCAGAGATGATACTTCGAGGTTTCCTGGAGCTGAGAACTCGAATCTGAGCTCCACTTGCCTCGAAATCCTATTGGTTGAGCAGTAACTAATAGAAATCAAGTTAAAGGAAAAACGACTTTCTGAGGGTAATTCAAGGCGAAGAGTTCAAATCTGAGCTATATTCGCTCCCAAATCATATTGATTGAGCACCAACCAATAGAAATCAAGTGTTTATAGAAAAGGCTTGCCAGGATAATTTTGATGCTCAGACATTCTAGGATGACTCATCTGCCTAATTCACTTTTTGAAGTACACATAACTCTCGGATTTAAATCCGAGGTTTCCGCATTTTTATTTATTGTAGGCTATAAAATGTATTCGTATTGCTTATATTGAAAAAAATACAAGTCTAATGGAACGGATATTTCATGCATGGACCGCGGTCTTTATATTCCGATTTTGGTTTATGTACATTAGTTTAATGAAAAAACATGATCTTGATTTAATTTTCACACAACTATCAGGCTTAACCATATCTGATAAAAAGAAAAATGATACCAAACGTAAATATTTTATCACTTATCAATCATTTTTCTCCGTCGAAATTAATGCTCATTGTCTTGTATACCTGGCTGTACTTGTCTCAGAAGGACAACTTCCTCCTGAAGCTTTGCTTATATGGCTGCAAAATTCTCAAACCTGCGAAAACACATTTAGATCGGCTAGATCAATATCTAGCGTTAATTCAGCTGGTGTGAACTTTACAGTCTCCCAGTTTCTTTCTCAAATCAATAAATTATCCACATTACAAAATATTAAAGATAATACACATGAAAATAAATTACATTTTCCTCAACATCATAAAGTATCATCAACATTACGAAATGCTTCAAACTCATCGAATATAACTATTATTTCGAAGACCGATATTGAAAATACTGTACTTAATGCTTATAAATATGTATCCAATCTCTTCAAACCACTTAAAATTAAACATCTTTTACGAAATGGACAAACAATACCAATTAAAGAGCTTAGTGTCGCCATTTCACGTCAACTTGAAGAATTTTGGACAACAGAAAATTATGATACCAGCAACAAAAATGTAGACCTCGATACTGATTCAGATGATGAAACAGACAATAGTATTGATGAAGATGTAGCAAATGATTATGAGAGTGATGAAGAAGTAGATCTATATGATTATCATTATAATATACCTAATGTTAACGTATCTGGAAATCGTGGAATAAGATTGATCGACAACGTGAAAGAAGAACTTGCTCATACTTACTTTAAAGTAAAAGTTAAGGATGTTAAAAAATATTTGCACAAACAAGCAGCGTGTTGGTTACTACAAAAGGACAAAACCACATTATCATCAGATCGATTATCACGTGTTAGAGGTAAATAACAATTTCTATTTTCAGCTTCTTTTGTTTAACTAAATAATTATATTGTTGTGCTATGTCACATTTATATCTTAATTTTATTGAATTATTATTTTCTTCAATAAAACTCGCCTATACTCAATGAATCTCTAATTATGATAAAATCTACGGATATGAAAGACAATTTTCATACGGTATGCAGAAAGCTAAAAGTTTCATGGATGCTAGAAATTAATTTCAAATTACTGGAAATCACGAGAAATCAACAGAAATCAACAGAAATCGACAGAAATCATCAGAAATCATCAGAAATCATCGGAAATCATCAGAAATCATCGGAAATCAATAGAAATCAAGGAAATCAACAGAAATCATGGAAATCAATAGAAATCGTGGAAATCATCGGAAATCATCGGAAATCATCAGAAATCATCAGAAATCAAGAAATCAAGAAATCAGTTTGTTCCCCCTTGAGTCATGACTAGAAAAATGACTCGTCTTTTTACCCGTCCTTTGCTCGTCTGGGTACTGGTAGACTCAGATTGATCAAATTACCAGCCTTGATAGCTGTAACAACATTATTTGCAACGTCTACTTGACTGGTATTTTGGCCAATATGACTCGTTGCTGGATAATTAATGTAAGCGACAAACTTAAACGACATAGAAAAAAACTTCAGAACTCAATAAGTTACGTCGATCAATGCAAACTAGTCGAAGAAAATCAAGATTGAAACTGAACGAATAACAAATATTTACTTACCATCAGTATGCCAGTACGATCCAATTTAATTACAAAATGAAGTGCAAGATATTTAACAACCAAGGCTATAATACCTAAAATGATAAGTACTATAATAAGAATACGTCATAATTGACTGTATCTGCAATATTGCTATGCTTTAAGATCATTTCTATAGGACAAGAAAAATTTATCTAATGAATAATTATAGTTATGATTACGGTATTCGATTCGAAACAAAAAAAGATTTTTTAACGATAAAGAAACCTTTTAAATAGAGTAACTTACTTCCGCCGAGAATCTTCATTGCTTCTTTCATTTTTTCATCCATTGTCTTCACTTGGAATATGATTTCCATGTGACCAGCAATAAAGTAGAATAAATTCATTCCCTATATACCTCACATAAGTATTCATAATTGAAAAGAAACCTCATCAAACAATATCTATCATTGCCATTGATATTTTGTGAATTAATCATCGTCTAGTTTTCCGATTGAAACAAGTACTGCTAAAAACATGAGTTTTGTATTTGTTCTATACGATTAGAGATGTCAATGTTCGTATTCCTTGGAGCTCTGTTCTTCAGAGAACACGAACACATTCTACAATGCTTTAAATGAATTTTTTGAATGTCTTGAACTATCTGAATATTCTTGTGTGTCTTTTTTGTGGTAGACTGCTATGGGTTTCTGAGTAAGAAACGGGAAACTGGCATTCCTAGTTTCGGATCCAAAATTCTTGGTTTTTTAGAGATCAAGACCTAGTGCACCTGGAAGAGCATAATCCAAAACCCATCATTCATAATTTTTAGGCCAACAGGACGCACTGAAACAAAACAGTGATAGAGTGAACTTTTGAAGTACGGTGCGGGTGGTGTTTAGGTTTTCAATAAGATCTTTAATTGCATACTTTCCTGTTTAAGCCATTGACGTTTTTATTAAGGCGAAACAATACATAATAGGTTTTCGGCTATGCTTTTTCAGATGCGCTAGGACTCGACGTTTAATTTCGAGTTCAGATTTTCTGTTGTCTGGGAAACTAGAAATTTCGAATCGAGAACTAGGGATGTCAGCTTCTAGTTCCGTTTCTAGAAACAAGAACCTTGGATATTGTTTGTGTTGCTAGGTACGACACTGAAAACTGATACTTCTATTGACAAGTTTAGATCGACGCCGTTAAGAAAAAAACCCTATCGATTGCAACACTGTCTTATGAAGTCGTATGCAACTTGATATATGATTTTTTCTTGTTGAATGAAAACTATCAAAATAGACTGCATACCCAAGCAGTCAAAAAAGTTAAATTGACGCGTTATAACGACCGTTTTGCGTTTTAGCTTGTAACGCATTTGTTTCAGCTTTCACATCGGTAAAG